CTGTGGCATTCAAGCACCCACCCACACATACACACCAACAAACCAATTTACTGTAGTAAATAAATAACACAGAAAGACCTGAAAAATGCATCCAACCAATTTAACTCAATTGATATGAATGTTTAAGATATTCTCTCCCAAAATGCTGGCATACAACATTCTTTAAGACAAAACACAATTTGAAACATAAATAAGCCAGAAAACTTAAAAAAAAAAAAAAAAAAAAAAAAAAAAAGATATTCTCTGACCACAAAATAAATGAAAGCAGGGATAACAGAAAGATATTTATTTGGTAATTGTTTTAAGTATCTGAAAATGGCAGGGTGTGGTTGTGACTGCCTCACTGGTGTCAAGGGAAAGCTCATCGTGGGCATTAGGGACACCTGGTGACAATGGGCCAGGTCAGCCAGCACAGTGTTCACTCCGCAAACCGCAGTGGCACCAAGGCTAGCCTGGGCTACATGACAACATATCTCAATATAAAAATGATGTAAGGAGACACTGAAATTTGCCTTACATTCATGTGTGGGTAACCCACACAAATTAAACAAACAAACACAACTTAAAGAGGTAGCTGCATACTAGTTAGAAGGCATTAGGGGCTGTGTGTCAGCTATCCCCAAGGTCCGAGCGTCCGGTGTGTGGCCATCAGCCTGGGGGTGCTCTTAGGAGTAGAACCGTTAGAAGTCAGGGCCTAGTGGGGACACAGACTGGAATGAGACCACGGGATGCCAGTTTCCTTCCTTTCCTGCCCGACTACCATGACGGACCCAACAGCAGTGGAGCTGACAGATTGCGGAGGCAGCTGAAAGCACCAATGCATCTGACCTGTGCATCGGTTCTTCGCAAGAATCTGTCACAACAAGAAGCTGACAGACTAAAGAACAAACTGCACAATATAAAAATGCAGACATTACCAAAGGTATAGATTTCTCTTTCTCAAACGGGTTTATATTGGGACATAAAAGAAAACCTACATAAATAAAGACAGGCCATGTTTATAGATTGGATTCTCAATATTACAGAGAGGGCAAGGCCCTCCAAAATGACCAACTAGTGCGATGTTTGGCTTTATTTTGTTAGGAGCTGATGTGCTGGATTTCAAATCCATAAAGGAGTGTGTACAGGCCAGGAATGGTCGTGGTGTCAGAAGGTCAGATGAAGAGGTCTGTGATATAAGGAATTCGGTTTGTGTTGCACGGCCACACCAGCAGGCAGGCTCCAGTGGAAAACTGACACCACCAACTGCTGGTGAAGGATGGGCACAAGCAGCCGATGAGGCCATGTTAGCAGTCTGCAAAGACAGCACCGCCCACTCAAGGTGGGGATAAGCACCTCTCCTTAGCCCTACACACAGCAGCTGTAGGGAAATTGTTGCCCAAGAGCCTAACACCTGAAACCTCCCTAACTTGGCAACAGGCAAAGGCTAGTGTACTTCAAGGAGAGCTTCAAAAGGGGCATGCCCACTCTGACCACCAAGCCCAAACACCACTATCTCCTACATAATTTCACTTAATTAAATTTAGAAAAAAATTTTAAAATTTCAAGTAGATACCTGGGGCTAAAACTTGGCAGAAAATTAGGAATGTGTTTCACATGAAAATCAAGATTAATGATGAGTGCCTGGTATGGCGAAAGCAATGGAGAGGAGCCGGAAGGGCTCTGGGTGCCAGCCACGGGGAGCTGCATGACCTAGGACGTGACTGCAGGGACACTGGCCTCACAGAAATGCTTTCGACCTGCAAGGATGAGTTATCACACTGTCTACGGATCGCACTTCACAATGTAAAGTGGTCTTAAAGATTCCTTTTTATTCTACGTGTATGCATGTTGTGCCTGCATGAATGCATCTGCACCATGCGTCTGCCTGGTACCCGCCAAGGCCACCGGAGGAATTGGATCCCAAAAGCACAAAGTGCTCCTTAGCTGCTAAACCATATGTGGGGTCCCCCAGTGCAAGGAGTTTCAAAGAAGGTTTTAAAAGTGATTTTTAGTAGGAAACAAAACAAAACGAAACAAAACGGGGGGAAAAAAAAACACCCTGGAAATCCCCCCCCCCCAAAATCAAAGAAGCACACTATAGAATTCAGACCTCACTGATCTGACAGCCTGTCAATCAAGATCATTTTACAAAACAAATATTAAAACCAGCAGGCATGGCAGCTTCCAGTCTGTGAGGCTGAGGCAGGGTGATCATGAGTTGGAGGGTTTCAAAAGAAAGATGGAAGTTATAGCTTCATGAGAGATAGAGAAAGGGTTAGATACTCGGAGACCAGTGGGTACTACAGGGTACAGACTTTAAATGGGGCACACGGTGCCGAGCTAGAACCTGGACAGGAAAAGCAATGCCAAGGGTTTATCGAGACAGCTTAGTGCCATGCTATTAAAGTCTGTATACTAGACGACAGTGTTAGCTGGGCACGGTGGCACCCTCTAATCTCAGCACTTAGGGGGCAGAATCAGATGGCTCTCTCTGAGCACTGGAGGCCAGCCTACTCTACATAGTGACTTCCGCCTGGAAGGGCTGCACAGTGAAACACTATCTCAAAAGCAAAAACAAAAACGCCTCAATAAAAAACAATACCAGCTACGTTTCCCACGTGTCATGATCACACTGTGACTACAGGAGTGACAAAGAGGAGGGTCTATGTTCTTAGGAGATTGCAACTGAAGCAACTAAGGGCAAAGCAGCATCAAGTCTTCAAACTACTTGTAGGGTTAGAGAGTGACATGAGGGTACAGGGATCCCGCATGGGGCAGGGCAAAGCTGACAGGAGGGACTGAAGTAGAGGGCACAAGAGAATTCTGCTGCTGCTTCTGAGACATTCTCTCCCTCCCTCTCCCTCCCTCCCTCCCTCCTTCCCTCTCTCCCTCTCCCTCCCTCCCTTCTCTTTCCCCTGCCTTTGTGTGTATTTAATTTAAAAAAAAAAAAATCTTTTCGTGAACTATAAACACAAACTTTCTACTTACAATGTAAAGTAAGGAAAAGAAAAACCAAACCCTCATTTTTACAGACACCAGTACAATTCACAGAAAACCAAGAGACCCCACAGAAATACAGTGAAATTAGAATCAGTATAGCATCGGAAGGAAACAAAGTTAAAGTGTACTTCATTCTCTTATACCACCAGCAGCTAGAACGCACAAGAAATGGAGCTACCATGAGGTGCACACCGTGATGCAATCCCTGGGAGAGAGGCAGGAAAACCCTGAGTTCAAGGCCTTCCAAGTTACACAGCAAGTCTGTCTCAAAAAAGTGAATAAAGGACAATAACAAGATCAAACCCAACACCTAAAATTAACCCTGACAAGAGGGGTTGGGGGAGATGGTTCAGTGGTGAAGAGCACTGGCTGCTCTTCTAGAGGACCAGAGGACCTGGGTTTAATTCCCAGCACCCACCTGACAGCTACCACTGTTTATAACTCCAGTTCCTGGAGACCAGACACCCTCACACAGATATACATGCAGGCAAAATATCAATGCACATAAATGTTATTTATATCAACTAAGAAAAAAAAAACCTGACAAGAGTCAGGAAAGTGTGCCCTGTAGCTTCATAGTTGCATTAGTGTGTGTACACACATGTATTTGTGTGTGTGTGTGTGTGTGTTACACACATGTGAGCACATACATAGAGAAAATAAAGAAAAACTTAAAATAGAAACAGGAGGTCTGGAAGAGCCTTATTCTTCAGGACTAACTGGTGGATGGAAGGTGCCAACAGGGTTTCCTCGGGCCGGTTGGTTTTCTTGCTTCTAGGGACTGCTAAGCCCCTGCAAAGCATGTGTGGGAATGAGACAGTGAGAAAAGCCAAGGCAATCTCAAGAGTAGTGTGGTGAGCCTCGCTGTGCGATGTCACGTCTTAGGTTACTACGGTGCAGTGCCGGGTAAGTCAGAGTCCCTGAGGGTATCACAGGACACAGAGAAGACAGTGTCCCACCTCACACACTGTCCAGACAACAGCCATGACTCCCAGTGGACTGAAACCCCAAATATAAAATGTAAAACTCTGGAACACACCAGCAGAGAATAGCTGTGGCACCAACAGGCAAACACTTCTCTTTGTGGTCTCTTGAGACAGGTTCCTATATGTAGGATATGATATTGTTCCTATATGTAGCCCAAACTATCCTTAAACTTGATACTGTTCTGCCTCAGCCTAAAGTAATGAGATGAAATGTGAGCTACCACATCCCATGCAAATACTGTGTTTACAGAACACGAAAGCACTAACCAGGAAAGACAAGGCAAGCGAGCTATGAATCACATGTAGATGATGAGGACCACATCTCCCTGCTTCTAAAACAGGAGGATGCTCTCCTAGTTCTATAACCTACGACGTAAGGGGTGGGCCCAAGCTTGACCTAGAGCATCAACTCTAAAAACAACCAAGCAGATTGTGAGGACAAACTGAGGATGCCCTTGGCTCTTTTGAGTGGTACCAGGGAAGATGCAAAGGATAAGAAATGAGGGAAGGAAAGGACCAGTATGCAGATGAAGAGTCAGGGACAAAGGCATTCCTTAACAGCTGGGGACAGAGGATGGGAAGTGATGAGGCCAAAGGCAGAGCCAGTGGACAGGCAGGAAGGACAGGAATGAATGTGTGCAAGGTGGGGGGAGTTTGGACAGCCTGAGTCTCTGCTTTCTTCAAGGAAGCAGACCAAGGTCATCGCTGAAGGCAACAGAGACCGGACCAGATCAGTGTTGCTAAGGAGTGACTGGAGAAAGGCAGACAGGCGGGGTGACAAGGGACTTGGAAGTACACAGTTCAGGCAGTGGTGTGCGATACCCTACTGTATATATACATGGGCAGAATGCCCTCCATACCATTTCCTCCCTTGCCTGGCTGGCAGTTGGTAACAAAAGCAATGAGCAAGGCTAGAGTCTGTGACACATACACAGGTTCTAGATTCGATCCCCAGCTCCCCCATACCCATGAGTCCCCTGGAGCGTGTCTGTCATAGAAGCAGAAGGCTGGCCATGTGAGGACACTGCTTACCGGCTTAAGACATTCTCACTGAAGGCGTGCTTTTCCAAGCGAGTGAGCAGCGGCAGGTTATCGTGGCCAGGGGCGTCCAAGAAAGCCATGACCTTCCCGTTGCCACAGTCTGGACTACAATCTTCAAATCCATCTAGACAGGAAGAGGAAACACTCTAAAACTGTATCCGTAGGTACCATCAACAGTGATGGGTCAGTCACACTGAGGCAGACATGCCCTGTGACCGGGCTGTGCATTGCAAGCTCCCCGAAGGCAGCCTCAATGGTGCCAATGGTGATGGAGCTACAGAAGAAGGTGGCAGGGACCAGTCTCACAAAGGAAACTGGTTCCCATCAACAGCTGCGTAACTACTCATCTCTCCTGCAATGAGCTGGGAATGGCCAGCTAACAAACACTCTCACCCTGCAGACAAGCATCCAGCAGCAGGGTCACCTCGAACCCAGTCTGCCTAAGTACTACTCTGTGGTAAGTAGTCCCACCCATCCATACCCTGGCCTGGCAACACTCAAGAAGGCTCTTCCTACAGGTCCTTTAGTCCATCTGGGCTAAGAAGTACACTGAGGTAGCTGAGTTAGGGGCCAGGGAGCCTATGCACCTGGAACAGAAGGAATCCTATGACTCTGATTAGCTGTGTGACCAGAGGGCATCACTGAGCCTCTCTGCATTTCTCATCCTGAAGAAAACCCATTCCATGAAATCCGGATGGTGGCACATATGAGTTGCTGCACATAAGCCTTGTGAGATCTAGCCCTGTGTGCCCTAGCCCTGACCTGACCAACCCTGACCTCAGGTCCTCATCCTTTAATCTGTGATGATCATCACTGGCTCTCCATCTTCCAAGACCTCCGAAAGATACTGTTCCTGGTCGCCTCTGTCTTGGGCTTTTAAGTTGTGGTTACTGCACAGCACCTCTAGAAGGTCTCCCCTACCCACCACCTCCCATGTCAAAGGTTCCCATGGTGCCAACCTGGCTGATTGCTACAACATAGCTCTCTGCACAATGCAGTGAGGCCTTCAGCAACAGACACTCTCTTGGGCAAGCCTCTATGCACTCACTACTGAGATTTTCATGCCCAGCACAATGCCTGGGGTCACAGTAGATGGACTTAAACTGGTGATGTGCAAATTCACTCTCTAGCCATGTATCTCTCTAAGGAAACTTTTAACCACCAAGTTAACACAATCTTTCCATAAAATCTTTCAATAAAACGAACACTTAAGACTTATCGCTAAGAGATGACTCTAGAATGGAGATAGTAAGAAAAGCTTTTAGGTGGTCATAAAAATTAAAGTAATTTAATTTAGGGGTTGGACAGGAGGCTTAGTCAGCAAAGTGCTTGGTGCCCAAGCATGAGGACCTGAGTTCAATCCCCAAGACCCATAAAAAGCTAGGCGTGATGGTAAGAAGATAGAAGAAGGCAGATCCCTGGGGCTCAATGGCTAACCAGTGTTATGAAACACTGTAACTATGTAAAGATGTGTTGCATTTGTTTATGTTGAATTTGTTTAACCAGGCAAAGATGTGTTACATTTGCTTATGCTGCAATTATTTAAAGATGCGTTGCTTTGCCTGCCTAAGGCACCTGATTGGTCTAATAAAAAACTGAACAACCTATACCTAGGCAGTAAAAGGGATAGGCGGGGATGGCGGGCAGAGAGAATAAGCAGAAGGAGGAATCTAGGCTCAAGGGAAGAGAGGAGAGAACCAGGGAGTGGAGTGGAGAGGAGAAAGAGGGAGAAAGAGAGTAAGGCGCCCGGGGCCAGCCAGGCAGCTGCCATCCAAACAAACATGGCAGACACAGGAAAAGTAGGACATAGAGAATGAAAGAAAGGTAAAGGCCCCGAGCCAAAATGAAGATCAAGAAAAACAGGTTAGATTAAGTTATGACAGCTAGTGGGAAACAAGCATAAAGTAAGGCCAAAGATTCATAAATAGTAAGTCTCCTGTCATGATTGGGAGCTGGTTGGTGGCCCAAATTAAAGCCTGCTACACACCAGTCGAGGCTACTTGTTGAATAATAAGCCAGCAAGGGACCATGTCTCAAAAAACAAGGTGGACAGCTACTGAGGAATGACACCCTATGCAGACTCTGGGCTCCACAGGCATGGACAAGCACATGAACTCATGAGTGCACCCAAACACACACACACACACACACACACACACACACACACACACACACACACACACACACACACACACACACACACACACACACCACACACACACACACCACACACACACACACACACAGACACACACACACACACACACGGTATCTTTTAAGCAGCTGTGATAGACTAGAGGTGCAGATGTATTTAGCAGGCATGACTCAGTTCTTTGCCTGTCTTTTGAGACAGGGTGTGTCATGGATCCAGCAGTCAGTGAGCTCAGGGGTGCTACCCTTCCCTTCCCTCCCCCACAGGGGCTAGGATATACATGATGCCCGCCCGGCCTTTCAGGGTGCTGGGAATACAAACTCGGGCCCTCATGCTTGTGTGCAGGTATCATACTGATGGAGCCACCTCCCCAGCCCTCCCTGGTCTTCACATTTTTCTTTTATTTTTATTATTTAATGTAACTTATTTTTATTTTATGTGCATTGATGTCTGTGTGAGGGTGTTGGATCCCCTAGAACTGGAATTACAGACAGGCTAGGCACCTCTATAGTGATATATTATTTGTGATTTATTAAAGCTTGCCTGAGGATTCAGAAAGCAAAGTCAGCTACAAGCCATAGAAGCCAGGCACACACCTTTAATCCCAGCATCCAGAAGCTAGGAGGTGGTGGTACACGCCTTTAATCCTGGGACTCAAGATTAAGAGGTAGAAGGATCTCTCAGAGTCCAAGGCCACCTAGATATCTCTACACAAGAGTGAATCAATCTAAAAGAGTAACAGATCACAAGCCTTCAATTCCAGCACTAGATGGGTATAAAAGACAGGAGCAGACTCTTCAGTATTCAGTAGGAGGCATTCATTCTCCAGCCGTGATGAGGAGAGGCTCCAGCCTGAGGCAGAGGTGAGAGCTAGTGGCCGGCTGCTTTGCTCCCCTGACCTTCGGCTTGAAGTCTGAACCCCAGTATCAGTCTCTGGGTCATTTATTTTTTGTGTTACAGATCTCTGGAAGAACACTCAGTGCTCTTAACTTCTGAGCCATCCCTTCAGACCCTAAACTTTTTTTTATTTTTTGAGAATTTTATATCATTATACAAAAATACTGCTATTCGTTTTTCCTCCTTCAACTTCTCTTGTGCCCCTCCAATGTGACCTCCTCCTAATTTTTCTTTCTTAAAAAGTTTGATAACCCACAAAGTTCAGCTGGTAACTCTCCATATGTGAATGGGTGTAGGGCTAACCCACTGGAGCACAGGGAACCTACCAATGTCCTTAAACTTTGTGCAACAAGTGCTTTTACTACGGTGCCATCGCTGCATCTCTGCATCTATGCTTTTAGGCACAAATCTCGATCCTCAGGAGAACTGACTGAGAAAGCAGGTAAGCCCTCCTAGGTGGGTGTGGTCTAAGAAGACCCTGTGCCTAGACCAGGCATTGGCTCAGACTATGACACCAGCCAACAGACACATTTTATGTATAACAAGTATTGATTGTTAAAATTCAGCTACTAGGCTGGAGAGGCGGCTTGGCAACCAAAAGCAAGTACCACTCTTGCTGAGGGCAAGAGTTTGACCCCCAAGTGTCCATATCAGGTGGCTTACAACCACCTGTAACCCTAGCTCCAAAGCGGTCAAACGCCTCTGGCCTCTGCAGGCATCTGTACTCACATGCACATACACACCTTTAAAAATAAAACCTAACTTTGTTCTTTAAGTCCCTGCTACAGCTGACTCTTCCTGTTACGCAGCCACCCTGCTTCACCCTGCCGGAGAAGAGGAAGTCTACTAAAAGGATAAGGCAGGAAGGGAGAGGCCTGGATTTGAAACCCAATTATCAAGAGGACTCTCACTATTTCAAAGAAAGCCTGGTAGGTTTGTGTACAACAAAGAGAAAAGACACAGCAAAGCCCTCCTGGCCCCCGGTCCCCTGCTGAACCTTTCTATTTTGACCAAAAAGAATAAAGAGGAAGAAACAAGCAGCCGAGGCTTCCCAGAGACTAGTTTTGGCAAGAGACCTGCCTCCCTGGCTAGTTCTGGGAAGATCAATGGTACCGGCTCTAGAGGTGCCGATGTTCCCTGCTGTACTTTGCACTGAAAATTAGATGTCTGTGCCAGTTACACCACAGGTGTGAAGAGGCAGAAGGGTCCCACCTGGCAGAAAGGAAGTCATGGCCAATTCAGGAGTAATTGAGAAGAGTTTAAAATAGAGATGGCAAGCTGTTGCCTAGGTGCTCACAATTCCCTGAAACACCGGCCACAATTTTCTCAGCTTTTTTAGTTATAAACGAGACCTTATTAAAGATTTAAACTGCCTAATGGAATCTTAGTAAAGTACATTGTGTGTGTGTGTGTGCGCGCGCATGCGTGCATGCATGTGTGCATGTGTACATGTCAACTGTCATCCTCAATTGCTCTCCACCTTATTTTTGAGGCTGAGTCTCTTGCTTAACCTGGAGTTCACTGGCTTGGCTGGAACAGCTGGGCAGTGAGGCCCAGAGGTCCTCCTGTTTCTGTCTACAGGGCTCTGGGATGACGGATGTATGTGGCCATACCCAGATGTGTGGGCAAGGGGAATCAGACTGAAGTCCTCCTACTTGCTAGAAAAGCTTGGTCCCTCTCCCTAGGCCCAAGTCATATACATTAGCTTAAGAGTGTGTGTGAGTGTGTGTGTGTGTGTGTGTGTCTGAGAGAGAGAGACAGAGAGAGAGAGAGAGAGGAGGGAGGGGAGAGGGGAGAGGGAGGTAGGGAGGGGAGAGAGGAGAGACGGAGGAGGATCAAAGTGCCATTTCCCTACAGGATGGTCACTGATTAGCTGAGCAGCTCTCCAGGGGTCACCACCAAGACCACAATCACAGTACTTGATGTGCATGCTCAGGACCCTCCCAGGGCCCAGAAACTGCAGCCCTCAGCCCACGGAGTGAAGAGCTTCTGTGGACCCTGGCAGAGTACTAAGAGCTTGCTCCTGAACTCTGGAGCTTACTGGCGGCTTTGGAATCCACAGAGACTGACCTGCA